AAACCTAAACCTAACCCTAAACCTTACCTTAACTTAAATCACGCTTCTGTTGGCGCGCTGTTGTCGGCGCGCTTTTGACATCGCGGTTTTAGCGCCACGGTTTTGTCGGCACGCTTTTGACGTTCGCGCATTTGTCGGGTCACGGTTGCAAGCTCACAGTAACATCCAGCCCAGACATGCATAACTGGGCATTGGAAACTGGGCAAATGTGTCTCCCTCCCATCTCACTTCCTGCCCTTGGGATTCAAAGGGGAGGAAAGAGGGTGCCCCCTCTTGGGACGGGGATGGAAATTCTTAACAGATTAACAGAGTTGGAAGGGACCTTATAGGTCATCTAGTCCAACCCCCCCGCTCAAGCAGGAGACTCTACACCATTTCTGACAAATGGCCGTCCAATCTCTTCTTGAAAGTCTCGAGTGATGAAGCCCCCACAACTTCCGAAGGCAACTTGGTTGATTGTTCTCACTGTCAGAAAGTTCCTCCTTATTTCTAGGTTGAATCTCTCCTTGGTCAGTTTCCATCCATTATTTCTTATCCAGCCTTCAGATGCTTTGGAAAATAGCTTAACCCTTCCTCCTCTCTGTGGCAGCCCCTCAAATATTGGAAAACCGCTATCATGTCTCCTTTTCTTCACTAGACTAGCCATGCCCAGTTCCTGTAACTGTTCTTCATACGTTTTAGTTTCCAGTCCTCTAACTACCCTGGTTGCTCTTCTCTGCACTTTTTCTAGAGTCTCAAATTATGGTAGCTAGGTTGTATATTACAGTTAGTTTTCCCACTAACCGAATTTCTAATCTTTTTCTGGACGTTTGCACCATGCAAAGCTTTTGAGTACTACACCATCAAAAAAGGGGACATATTTCCCCCGTGTAGTCATGTCTGACTTTAGGGAGCCGTGCTCATCTCTGTGTTTAGCCAAGGGAGCCAGTGTTGTCCGTAAAGATAATCAGATTTCTTTTGGCAGAGTTTTTTTTTTCTAGAGTAGATTAGAGTTCATTTCCACAGACGTCTGAAGGGTTAGTCTCAATTGATTGATGGGTCACAAACGTAACGAATGGGCTGAATACACTGGGGGAGATTTTATTAAAGACTCGGCTTTCTGAGATGATAGAATTCCAGGCCTTTCTCTTTTAACCTCCTTTGAAATTGTTCCCCTCAAACATATGTTGTTTCCCAACTCTAGGGGGCGGTGCTCATCTCTGTTTGAAAGCTGAAGAGCCAGTGCTGTCTGAAGACGTCTCCGTGGTCATGTGGCCAGCTTGACTAAATGCCGAAGGCACATGGAACGCTGTTAACCTTCCCACCAAAGTGGTCCCTGTTTTTCTACTTGCATTTTTACGTGCTTTCAAACTGCTAGGTTGGTAGAAGCCGGGACAAGTAACGGGAGCTCACTCCACTACGCAGTGCTAGGGATTCGAACCACGAACTGCCGACCTTTCTGATCGACAAGCTCTGTGTCTTAGCCACTGAACCACCGTGTCCCCTGAAATTGTTTTACATGCACATTATTATAGCATCCAGGTTAGGCAAAGTGTCTTTTCCCCTTCTCCCAAAACAAGATGTAGCAGGGGATATAGATGTGCTAAATTTAGCTTCAACTTTGGTCTGTAGATTTCTCTTGGTACTTAATTGCTGAGTGTTCTTTGTTTTATGGTCCTTATTAATACATAAAGTGTTTTATCTGTAGTGGAAGGGCGTAAGTGTAACTTGACACACTAAAGAGGTTTGGAAGTACATGCCAGATAGGGTTGCTGGGAAGACACAATCTTTAATATGGATCAGAAGATGTAGAATACTTACCCAGAGTTGTTCATTATTGTTGTTGTTGCTCAGAATCTTTTGAAACAGGGCAAACTCATTTAAACAATAATAATTATTGGTTTGTGTGTGTGTGTGTGTGTGTGTATCAGCATAAATATAACAAATGTAACAAAAAGGCAACAGTAAAAAATATTGGGTTTCTGTCTGGATGGTCTCTTGTGATGAGCCGAAGGACAGAGAATGGAAGTGTGACCTTCCTCCCATATTTGAAATAGATCTATACTAGTCTCCCTTTATTTATTTATCAGCACAAATATAACAAATGTAACAAAAAGGCAACAGTAAAAAAATATTGGGTTTGTGTCTGGA